CCAGAGGTTTTTGCAAATGTAAGGAGATGTTTCGTAGACAGGCTCCATATTTGCCAAGAACATCTGGGTGTACAATTTGAGCATCTATTATAAACAATTTTAAATGTAAAAATACAAAATTCCAAAATTTAATTTCAATGTTTTTTTCTTGAAAACGAATAACGATTTTTTAATTTTTTTACGGAAAGTCAGTGTCAAAAGAGCTTTCAAACGAAGTATCACACGCCCTGTAGTGACACTTAAAATTTCAAAGTTGATACCTCGATCTACGAAGGGGTGGCAACTACAAAATAAGTAATGATGTAAGTCGACGTCCTCCTCAAATTAAAAATCGATGTGTTTTTGTAATTTTTTCTACTGTTCTACTTCTACTGTCAGTGGTAATCATCATCCTCATCGTAGGAAAGGGCTTTCAAACCCACTCCGATGGGCTGGACATAGCTGTCATAGTATGCCTAATATTGACGTGGACAACTGATCTCTGCAGTTCATCGCAGACCATCGGTGAAGCCATCGACTGTGTGCTCCCGTTCCAATTCATTCTTCTGATACTAGAAGGATTATCGCTGGTATCTACGGCGGCGTATATATTGACGTATGCTAACATTACTACAGACATCATAGCAAATATCCTTGGATGTGTTACTGGAATCTTGTACTTCGTGGATGCCGTTGTGAGTTTTCAAGCTTACGAAATATGCAAATAGACAAATGACTTCTCTTCCGACTGCTTGACATTTGCGAAGAAGTCAGCTGTAGGAGATGTTGCTCGATTGAAATGATCTCTGTAAGTGGCGACAAACTTAATTTCTATGTGCGTTTCTCTTGTTTAACAGTTAACGTTTATATTACTATACAGGGTGTCCCATATAGGCCGTCAGCCCGCTGCAAAAAAACCGTATGATTTCTCCACGTATGCCTTTCAAGGTAAAGGTAATTATGCGCATGCTGACCAATGAACAAGTACAATTAGCCGGTAGCCGTGGAACATGCTCCGGTAAAGGTAATTGTTAATTGGAAAAAAATCGCGTTTTACAATTATATTTACACGTATGCCGAGCGTACTAAACAACAATTAATTGGAAAACGGTCGGCATACAGGCAGAGTGGAACCGAAGGGACGGGTGACGCCTTTAAAAGTGTAAATAAATATTGCATTTGTAAGTGATAGTTACACGTATGCCTATTCGAAATTCAATGGTTTTTGGAATAAAGTGCACAATTTCCAAAGGGCATACGGTTCCCGAAGGTCTTATTAATTTCACACATGACTGTGTATTAATTGCACAGGTATGACAATGACAGTTACGCGTATGCCCTTTTAATATATCATCCATTATGTTGAGATTCGTTATAAAAATCATCGGCATACAGTTTGTAAGGGATCTACCTGGTGGCATACGCGAGAAAAGAGTGCATATTTTTTGGTTATGTTCCAACGATAGTGCCACGTATGTCATTGTTATTTTTGTTAAATATTGACCTAATTATGCCTGTTTGACAAACGGGATACGAATCGATTGGAACAAAATTGATTTTATCTTATAAGACAACCGCGCGAATTACCAAACGTATTGTAAACCATAGTGTCACGTATGCCATTGTTATTTGTCGGTAAATATTGGCGTAATTTTGCAAGTTTCTCAACCGCATAAGGATCTGACGGGATTAAAATATTCGATATATAAATTATATTATTTCGAAGTACTATATATCATGCTTATTTACTGAGCAGTAAATTACATTGACATAGAAACACATTAACAAAGAAGAAAACTTAAGTCAAATAAACAATCTACTTTTTTTTAGCCGAAAAAAACATTTCATTTTATTCGTTGCAGCTTTTGAAGGCAGGATCGATTTCATTTGTCATAGAAGTGTCATACGAAAATGAAAATTTCGACCTCTTTCCCGATATGTCAAAATATATTAGAAATAAATCTGTAAATACTTGTCTGAAAGAGGTCTAACAATGACAAGACGTCTTATTAATAAAAAAAACCTTCTTTTCGTTTTTTAATAGTACTTCTCTTATTATTAGAGATGGACCCAACAAACCTTATATGACTATGCTCGACAGGGAGCGTTCTATCCAAATATGAAAAAAATATGCAGGATGTTCCATGTAAATTAACAAAGTTAACATCCGCCGCCATTTTGATTAGACTTCATTATTCGTTTTTCTACTATCATTTTCGAAATCTTCCAGTTTTTTTAGAATGGGTTCCACGATAACCGTATGCCCTTTAAGAAATCAAAAGTCCGTGATAAAACAGTCATTTTGCAATCTTAATTTAATTTGGCATTATCATTGTCATACCTGTGCAAATAATACACAGTCATATAGGTGTGAAGTTAATAAGACCTTCGGAAACCGTATGCCCTTTGGAAATTGTGCACTTTATGCCAAAAACCATTGAATTTCGAATAGGCATACGTGTAACTATCATTTACAAATGCAATATTTATTTACAATTTTAAGGGCGTCACCCGACCCTTCGGTTCCACTCTGCCCGTATGTCGACCGTTTTCCGATAAATTGTTGTTGCTAAAATACCGTTTAGTATGCTCGGCATACGTGTAAATATACGCGATTTTTTTGCAATTACCAATTACCTTTTCCGGTGCATGTTGCATGGTTACCGGCTAATTGTACTTTTTACGTGGAGAAATAATACGGTTTTTTTTGCAGCGGGCCGAAGGCCTATTATAAAACTTTCCACTTGAACATTTTGTTTAATATAAGTTTTGAAAAAATTACAAAATCAAGTCGATTTTTAATTTGAGGGGGTTCTCGATATACATCATTACTTATTTTGTAGTTGCCACCCCGTAGATCGAGGTATCAACTTTGAAATTTCAAATGGCAGTACAGGGCGTGTGATACACCGTTTGAAGGCTCTTTTGATACTGACTGAATCCGTAAAAAAAAAATAAAAAAGTGGTTATTGGTTTTCAAGAAAAAAACATTGAAATTAAATTTTTGGAAAAGCACGTGTTAACCACTGAAAAGATTTTCATACATCAAAACATTGATTATTAAACTGCAAAAAGGTTTCTACTTCAAATTGATAAAAACAATAATAAACGAAATGTAAAGAAGGTTGAAGTTCTTATCAGAATTTTTTATGAATTTCATTGGAAAGGAATGCCCTTTCCATTTTACCTTTTTGTTTGATATCATTTTATCGGAAACGTGTTATTGTTGAAACCATTTTCAATTGTATCGAATCTCCTATTCGGCTTACAATCAATTTTTCATTATGGTTTATTCGTTAGCTGAAAAAGTTGAAATAATTTTTCTTTATGGAAAACAAAATTAATGTGTTAGAGAAACTACTCACTCGAATTTTCAATGAGATGCATCCTGATCACCAAACAAGTCATACGTACGTGAGCTAGATTGTTAAGAAATTTCGAGAAACTGGGTCCGTGGCAAATCTTAAGAAAACCAATCCTCCTAACGAATTAATGGAAGTAGGAATTTTGGGCGAACTCACAATGAATCCACACCAATCCGTGCGATCGTTAGAGCGTACTACAGAGATCCCTAAGTCGAACGTTCATCGGATTTTGCAAAAACATAATTGGCATCCGTACAAAATACATCTTGTGCATTATTTGAACGAGGATGATCCGGATCGTAGAATAGAATTTTGTGATATCATGTCTAACAGAATCACAGAAAATCAAAATATACTTTACAATATCTGCTTCAATGATGAGTGTACGTTTTTTCTCAATGGTACAGTGAATAAGCATAATATTCGTTATTGGTCAAGTGAAAACCCTCATTGTGTTTGGGAATCGCACACTAAGTATCCAGAAAAGGGGTAATCACATAGTTGGTCCATTTTTTTTAGATGACATTTTGACTGGAACCAGCTATTTACGTTTGTTGAAAGATCATATTGATCCCATGATCACAGAAATTCTGGAGAATGATGATTAGCTGGATGAAAATCTTGTGACGTTCCAACAAGACGTAGCTCCACCCCATTTTGAGCGATGAGTTCGGGCTTATTTGCATCAGAATTTTCTAGGACGATGGATAAGTAGGCGTGGGGCTATAGAATGGCCAGCTCGGTCTCCCGATTTGAGCCCGAACGACTTTTTTCTCTAGGGATATCTCTAATCAGTGGTTTTTGCAAGTAAACCCGAAAATCATTAGATTTATAAGATTTAAGACAACGTATTGTAAACGAATGTCGGAATTGAACTCCAGAGGTTTTTGCAAATGTAAAGAGATGTTTCGTAGACAGGCTCCATATTTGCCAAGAACAACTGGGTGTACAATTTGAGCATTTATTATAAACAATAAAATAATGATGCCCCCCTCAAATTAAACATCGACGTGTTTTTGAAAATTTTCCAAAACTTCATATTAAACGAAATGTTCAAGTGGAAAGTTTTATGTGGGACACTCTGTATGTAGGAATATTAATACAGAAGTAACTAATGCTACTTTCGTTTTTTCTTAACAAATGCTGTGATCAGAATAAAAATTGCTTGTTTCATTGCAGATATATGATAGAGAAATAGCATGTACTTTCACAGCAGCTATCTCTCTCTTCACCTTGTAACGCGCCCGACGATTGGAATGCTACTTCCAGTAGTACATATATACGTCAATTTAAAAACATCTTGTATTTGCATTTGGAAAACAGGTAACTCCTTTGCTAACTTACGCTTTTTTGGCCTAGAAAATGGATTTAGACAAACAATATACATGCATGCATGCAACACAATCAATAGATCAGATAAATGGAACTTACATACTCTTATTTAATGTTAATAAATCTAATTTTTGATTTGTCTTAATATTGTTTTATTAATTGCCGAAAGATGGCACCACTTCCCCGTTAACAGCGCTTGGTAGAATATTTGTGAATCTTGATGCTCACTGAAATGGCGATAGATGGCGCCACTGAATAATAGCGCCCTAGTGGAAAAACTGTGACACTTGATATCAGCAGAAATGCTAATAGATGGCGCCACTGTCTGATAATCAGCGTCCTCTAGTGGCAAAACCGTGAAATTCCATGTTTACAGAAAGGCCGACAGATGGTGCTACTTGCTGATTAACAACGCCTCCTGGTGGGAAAACTGTAAATCTTGACGATCACGAAAGTGCCGCTAGATGGCGACCACGCTGCAATAACGCCCCCTGGCGGAAAAATGTAAAACCTTTATGACATTCTAGTTTACAGCGCCTCGTTGTATAATAACTGTGAACCTTAAGGTTCGCAAAAAAACGGTAGGTGTCGTGATTGACTGGTTAACAACGCCCACCGTTGAAAAAAATATTAAACCTCCGGTAGACGGCGCCACCTTCTGATTTACGGCGCCACCTGATGAAATAACTGTGATCCTTAAAGTTCGCAAAAAATCCGGTAGGTGTCGTGACTTGCCGATTAACTGGAAAAACCATTTAACCTTGATGTTGACAGAAACTCCGATAGATGGAACCACCTTCTAATTTACAGCTCTCCCTGATGGAATAAATGAACCTTAAGGTTCGCAAAAAATCCGGTAGGTGTCGCGACTTACTGATTAACAGCACCCTCTGCTGGAAAAATATTAAATCATGATGTTTACTGATATGCCAGTAGATATCGCCTTTTTGTTAACAACTCTCTGTGGCGATACAGCTGTGAACTATGATATCCACACAGATTTCGATAGATGGCACCACTGGCTGATTAAC